GATATGATCTCATGTATAATACATAAGGGGGGGATATGATCTCATGTATATATGACTCATATAATACATAAGGGGGGATATGATCTCATGTATAATACATAAGGGGGGATATGATACCATGTATAGGGGGGATATGATCTCCATGTATAATACATAAGGGGGGGGGATATGATCTCCATGTATAAATACATCAGTGGTTCATATAGTGAACTCGGTGTAGTTATTCACCCTGAGGTCATCACAGAGGACAAGGGGGCACTCTTTACATCTGGAGGAAAATAAATGTAATCCCCAAACATGGAAAGGTTTCTTCACAGTGAGAGCTGTGAGAATGTGGAATAGACTCCCTCAAGAGTTGGTTCTGGCCAGCTCAGTGGATTGCTTTAAAAAAGTCCTGGATTCTTTCTTAGATACACAGAATATAACTGGATATAATATTTATAGGTAAAGTTGATCCAGGGAATATCCGATTGCCTCTCGGGGGATCAGGAAAGAATATTTTCCCCTGCAGGAGAAAATTAGATCATGCTTTGCTGGGTTTTTTTTGCCTTCTTCTGGATCAAATCTGGGTGTAGGATTACAACTTTTTTTTTTTTAATGGTTGAACTGGATGGACTTTTAGCTTTTTTCAGCCAGACTAACTATGTAACTATCTGGGAGAACCTCACTCCAGTACAAGAGTGGTGAGAGGCCTATTGGCCACCTTGATGTACTGTTTGCTGTTGTTACTATCTATATTATGAATACTACTTCCTGCAAAAGACTATTAAAGTGATATGAAACACACACTGTTTAACCCCCTTTCCTGACCAGGCCATTTTTTGCGTTATGGCGCTGCATTACTTTAACTGACAATTGCGTGGTCATGCAACGCTGCACCCAAATGAAATTTGCGTCCTTTTTTTCCCACAAATAGAGCTTTTTTTCAGTGGTATGTGATCGCCTCTGCATTTTTAATTTTTTTTGCTCTATAAACAAAAAAAGACCAACAATTTTGAAAACAAAATATATTTTTGACTTTTTGCTATTAAACATGTCCAGTAAAAAAAATCAAGTTTCATTATTGAGGCCAAATATATTCTACTACATGTCTTTGCTAAAAAAATCCCAGTACATTGTATGTAAATTAATTGGTTTATGTGAAAGTTATAGCTTCTACAAATGGCGGTATAGATACTTGAATTTTTTTACCTTTTTTATAGTAATGGCAGCAATCAGCGACTTATAGTGGCTCTGCGGGACTGCGGCAGGCATTCTGAACTAACTTAGTGTAACTGACATCGCCAGTGACACCAATACAGTGCTCAGTACTAATAAAAAGAACTGACACTATGCAGAGCCATACAAAGCAGTGAACAGGAGCTGACAGGGGAGTGAATGTTGTTTGGCTTCTCCTCCGTCAGTAATACTCAGCGATCGCTGGGTGCTGGCTGGGGAATCACTGGCTGGGACCAAGTGATTGAAAGCTGAGGCCCCCTACCTGGAACTGCAAAATTACGTATATACGTATATGTGATTTTGCGCACCTGTGCTGCCCAGTATTTCTGCTATAGGGTGGTGCGGAAGTGGTTAATTTACCTTATCTCTTCTCTTTCTGTATATGAATAATGCCACTGTAATTATTTTAATAAAAAAAAAATAATCTAAGTACCTTTTTCCAAATCGATATACAGCTATCACATGACCCTGCTCTTTCCCAGCGCATCTGCAGGGAGCTTCTAGTTCTCTGCTACTAGTCACTTGTTCAAAATAAAATAAACAAACTTTGAGATACAGAGTAAAAATAAATATTTAATATCAATAAACTGCTTTAAAACATCATAGAAATAGACACTCGCCAGCCACTTTATTAGGTACACCTTGCTAAAAAGAAAATCTCCCCCACACCATTACACCACCAGCCTGAACCATTGATACAAGGCAGGATGGATCCATGCTTTCATGTTGTTTACCCCAAATTCTGACCCTACCATCTGAATATTGCAGCAACCAGTTTGCCCATTCTCCTCTGACCTTTGACATCAGCAAGGCATTTTTGTCCACACAACTGCCTCTCACTGGATATTTTCTCTTTTTCGGACAATTCTCTGTAAACCCTAGAGATGGTTGTGCATGAAAATCCCAGTAGATCAGCAGTTTTTGAAATACTCAGACCAGCCTGTCTGGCACCAACAACCATGCCACATTCAAAGTCACTAAAATGCCCTTTCTTCCTCATTCTGATGCTCGGCTTGAACATCAGCAAGTCATCTTCACAATGTTTACATGCCTAAATGCATTGAGTTGCTGCCATGTGATTACCTGATTAGCAATTTGTGTTACCAAGCAATTGAACTGGTGTACCTAATAACGTGGATGGTGAGTGTATATTTGAAATAAAACCTTTTTTATTTTTTTTGGCAATAACAGGGTGGGGACAGATTTCTACCAGTCAAAGCCTGTGTCTTAGAATAACAGTGAGGTGAAGCCTCCATCAATCAAAATGTAATATCCTACCCCCATTGTGTTTAGCTGGTTAGTGGGTATAAAGGAAGAGAGAGGCAGTGGGTTGTCATTTACCACTGTGTACACACCAACATGTGTAACTCTATAGTCATATGGACAGATATAACGAAGATCCTCCTGCGCTTGAATGGAGTCCTAGCCTTGAAGCTGCTGACACTAACCTTATACCCAATAAGTGAATAAACCAATAAATATAACAGTGCAGCACTGACAAAATTAAATGATGAATAAAAATATAAATAAATATATACAGTGGGGCAAAAAAGTATTTAGTCAGCCACCAATTGTGCAAGTTCTCCCACTTAAAAAGATGAGAGAGGCCTGTAATTGGCATCATAGGTAGACCTCAACTATGAGAGACAAAATGAGAAAAAAAAAATCCAGACAATCACATTGGCTGATTTGGAAAGAATTTATTTGAAAATTATGGTGGAAAATAAGTATTTGGTCAATATCAAAAGTTTATCTTAATACTTTGTTATATATCCTTTCTGGGCAATGACAGAGGTCAAACATTTCCTGTAAGTCTTCACAAGGTTGGCACACACTGTTGCTGGTATGTTGGCCCATTCCTCCATGCAGATCTCCTCTAGAGCAGTGATGTTTTGGGGCTGTCGCTGGGCAACTCGGACTTTCAACTCCCTCCAAAGGTTTTCTATGGAGTTGAGATCTGGAGACTGGCTAGGCCACTCCAGGACCTTGAAATGCTTCTTACGAAGCCACTCGTTCGTTGCCCGGGCGGTATGTTTGGGATCATTCTCATGTTGGAAGACCCAGCCACGTTTTATCTTCAATGCCCTTGCTGATGGAAGGAGGTTTCATCAGTAGGTATGGTGTTCTTTGGATGCAACTCAGCATTCTCTCTCCTCCAAACACGACGAGTTGTGTTTCTACCAAACAGTTCTATTTTGGTTTCATCTGACCATATGACATTCTCCCAATCCTCTTCTGAATCATCCAAATGCTCTCTAGCAGACTTCAGACGGGCCCGGACATGTACTGGCTTAAGCAGGGGGACACGTCTGGCACTGCAGGATCTGAGTCCCTGGTGGCGTAGTGTGTTACTGCCTTTGTTACGTTGGTCCCAGCTCTCTGCAGGTCATTCACTAGGTCTCCCCCGTGTGGTCCTGGGATTTTTGTTCACCATTCTTGTGATCATTTTGACCCCACGGGGTGAGATCTTGCGTGGAGCCCCAGATCGAGGGAGATTATCAGTGGTCTTGTATGTCTTCCATTTTCTAATTATTGCTCCCACAGTTGATTTGTTCACACCAAGCTGCTTGCCTATCGCGGATTCAGTCTTCTCAGCCTGGTCCCAGGTCTACAATTTTGTTTCTGGTGTCCTTCGACAGCTCTTTGGTCTTCACCGTAGTGGAGTTTGGAGTATGACTGTTTGAGGTTGTAGACAGGTGTCTTTTATACTGATAACAAGTTCAAACAGGTGCCATTGATACATGTAATGAGTGCAGGACAGAGGAGCCTCTTAAAGAAGAAGGTACAGGTCTGTGAGAGCCAGAAATCTTGCTTGTTTGTAGGTGACCAAATACTTATTTTCCACCATAATTTGCAAATAAATTCTTTCCAAATCAGCCAATGTGATTGTCTGGATTTTTTTTTCTCATTTTGTCTCTCATAGTTGAGGTCTACCTATGATGCCAATTACAGGCCTCTCATCTCTTTAAGTGGGAGAACTTGCACAAGTGGTGGCTGATTAAATACTTTTTTTGCCCCACTGTAAATAAATGGTGATCAAAATAAACCAACTTGGTACATAATGATCAATCCCCTTGATTTCACACCAGGGAAATCTACATATAAATAAATAAATGTATATTATATAAATAATTGTGTATTACGTGAATCCCCTCTCACTGGGAATACACAGTGCACATAGTGAAATATAAACCGTAACACAATGCTGTGAAATAACACACAAAAAATGTGCAAAACAACTGTGAACAAATGGTTAAATAGTCCCAAAAATAGCAACACATATAGTGGTACTCCCACTTCACTCTCATGCAATAGTCGTGCTGTGTAGGTGATTCACAAGTGACAATCCTCCAATAGCCAGAATGCCCCCTCACCTCCTTACTTAGACCCCAAAGGGCCAGCTCCCTTTAGGGATCAACCGATCCTACAAGGACACACTCCTCCCAGGATTCCCCTCAATGATGGCAAGCGTCTCCAGCCTTCAACCAACTAGCAGCCAGCTCCTCCCAGGATCATAGTAAAATACAAGCAGAGATCCTCCATAGTGTAATCGGTTTATTAAATGAATAATCAGAATAAAAAATGCCCACTCACATAACAATCGTCTTGTTTCCAGCTCATTTACCACATGCTATGGGTGTACTGCATGGGTATCTGCAAAAGGTGATCCAATATGGCCCCCACGCCGAAAATGACATCACCACGTTTCCGGACGTTCCTCCCCGCATACCTAGTCATAGTCATAGTCATATGGGCTGCTCAGATATGATAGGGAGGAAATGCTCAGGGTAGAAATACACTGAAAACTGAGCATTTCCAGTAGCGGCCAACACCGCTCTGTAAAATCTCCAACTGCAGTGGGGACATGGAACAGGAGGGGCTGATAGAGAACAGCAGGATAACCCTGGTTTGTTTGCAGAAAACAGAAAACGAACCCCACAGTGACTGAGTATGAACCAGGGGCGGACTGACAACTCATGGGGCCCCCGGGCAATAGGGGATCATGGGGCCCCTGTATCCTTGCCCAAACTCAAAAAAAAAAAAGGTACCAGCCTATGAAAAAGGTACCAGGGGCATCTCATGGGGCCCCCTACTGACCCCGGGCCCTCGGGCAGTGCCCGAGTTTCCAAATGGTCAGTCCACCCCTGGTGACACGTTTCAAAGCACTTGCTTCGTCTTCAGACCTGACTGACTGTAGGGTTCTCTGGTGTTGTATAGGCAGAAGACAGGAGGGGGCGGGATGATATCACTCTGACTGGCAGCTGGGGGAAGATGTCAGCAGCTAGGATCGGTGGATGGAGATCGGAGCAGGCATATACAATAAAAAAGTAGTAACTGGCATAATGTTCTAGCGTGGTTTTTCACATAATGGTGGCAATGTCTTTGGTGAACATGATTCATGATAATATAGAGCTATATGCAAATAAACAAATAAATAAATAAATGGGGGGGGGGGGGTTAGGGAGAGAAGAGAAGGCACATGCAGGGGGGAAAAAAAATTAAAGGAAAACAGGGGGGGTGAAAAAGGAATGCCGGAAATCATACTAATATTAAAATGGAATGATAATTATTTGGCAAAGGGCATGGCAAAGTGGATCTTCCTCCAAATTATCATTACTTATTTGTAAATGATTAAATGATCTATGCTGATTTTGGCGCCATTTTTAAAAAAAAAACTCTCTGCATTGCTGAACACTGACGGCTGCATCTCTGCTCATCCTGCACAACCAGGATCCATCTTCACATCACTGGCAGACTGAGGGCTTACCAAAGGCATTCCTTTACCATGCTATTATACTTCTTATGTTTCTGAGTAGTTTTTAACCTCTTGTTACCAATAAATCTTTAACCCTCTACACTGAGATTGGCACCGCCTTGTGTCTGATCTATCTATCTATCTATCTATCTATCTATCTATCTATCTATCTATCTATCTGTCTATCTATATCTATCTATCTGTCTATCTATCTATCTATCTATCTATCTATCTATCTATCTATCTATCTATCTGTCTGTCTGTCTGTCTGTCTATCTCTGTCTGTCTGTCTGTCTGTCTGTCTGTCTGTCTATCTATCTATCTATCTATCTATCTATCTATCTATCTATCTATCTATCTATCTATCTATCTATCTATCTATCTATCTATCTATCTATCTGCCTATCTACAGTATCTATCTATCTATCTATCTATCTATCTATCTATCTATCTATCTATCTATCTACCTATCTATCTCAGTCAAGTACAAATTATAACTATTTTGAGAAATGATTTACTTTAACATCTTTATGTATATCTATCTATAGCTCAATCAATCAATAAATCAATCACAAATGATCGATCATTAATTCAATCACAAATAAGTAATTATAATTTGGAGGAAGATTCACTTTAACATCTATCTGTATAGTTACCTATGTCTCTAGCAATCAATCAGTCAATCGATTACAAATTATTAACCCTTTCACACCTAAGGGTAAAACAAATCTTAACGGCTAAGTACAATCTTGCAACGTTGACATGTGTTAGAAAACCGTACATATCATCACAACTGCTTTGTACATCCAGGTGGATTATACCGCGTTTTTTAAAAGACAAATTTGGCTTTCATTTGGTGGTAAATGGATGCCTCTTGATTATTTCTTATTATCAAAGGAAAACTGGCCCAAAATAGTTTTAAAAAAATATTTTATTTAAATGTAGCTGTGTGTTTCTTGTTACAACCATAACCTACCACCAAAAAACAACCCAAAATAAATTTCCCAGCTCTTGATGATCGCAGCGATACCAAAAAACAACCCAAAATAAATTTCCCAGCTCTTGATGATCGCAGTGATACCATATATGTGTAAGTTATTTGTTGTTTGTACCTGCAGTACAGCCCAGAAACAATAGTGGGTATTTTGTTTTTACCTAAAACACACTGACACTGACACAAACTGACACTGATACCAATTAAATGTTTTTTTAAATCCTGACCTTTGCCCCTGACCTTTGCCCTCGTGCTTTGACTCTGACCTTGATCCAATCCTTGATCTAGGTATTTTTCTTTTTTTTTAATATTTCTTTATCTTTTTTTTAAACAGCTTTTTTCCCTCTATGCAAGGAGAGAGAGAGATACAATGTAAAAAAAAACAAGGGGGGTGGGCTGTACAATGATTGATCACTGTGATAGTCAATCAGAGGCTATCACAGTGATCACATGACCCGGAATTGGGAGTCCCGGGTCCTGATCGTTAGAACGGGACCCAGGGCTCTCAGTGACACCCTGGTCTTTGTGCTGGGAACGCACTGTGCGGCGCACTCCCAGCACAAAGACAGGTACGCAAATATGCGGCCCCACAGAAAAAAGCCCAGTTCTGTGAGGCCGCATATATGTGTTACATCGGTGTGAGTGGGTTAATATGAATTTGGGGAAAGATCTATCTATCTATCTATCTATCTATCTATCTATCTATCTATCTCTCAATCATATGTCATATCTTCGAATATGCTTCTATCAATACTAAGCACTATGGTAGAGGATACATTGTTGCAGTTTTTAATAGTTATGAACTTTTCTTTGTAACCACTACATTACTTTTTTGATAATCAAACACAAATTATTACTAATCTATATAACTAGCAATCAATCAATCAATCAATCAATCAATCAATCAATCAATCACACATTAGTAAAAATAATTTGGGGAAAGATTAACTTTAACATCTATCTATCTATCTATCTATCTATCTATCTATCTACAGTATATCTCAATCAATCAATCAATCATGAATTAGTAATAATATTTTTAGGAGATTTACTTTTTAACATCTACAGTATCTATCTCTCAATAAATCGACCAATCAATCATTCACAAATTAGATGTAATAATTTTGGGAATATTCTATCTATCTATCTATCTATCTATCTATCTATCTATCTATCTATCTATCTGTCTGTCTGTCTGTCTGTCTGTCTGTCTATCTATCTCTGTCTATCTATCTCTATCTATATATCTATCTATCTGTCTATCTATGTATCTATCTATCTGTCTATTTATGTATCACAAGCTTTTCCCTCTCTACAGAGAGCTGCCCTGTAAATTATACCTGGTTGCAGTCTTTACTGTTCTTTTTATATTTGAAAATAATTTTTGAAGTGAGATATGACTAAACTATCTTCCGAGGCCTCTTATGAAGTTTTGCTGACTTAGCTGATCCTTGGGAACTTCCCAAGAAATTATGATCTGGTGCTTTCATCTTAAAAATTCATGTCCTAGAAAGGTTACTGATTGAAATTCATATATTGTAATGCAGTCCTCCTTTACTCCCATGATATACATTGCAAGCTGCTGTTCATCCTTTGTTCCTGCATGATAAATGTTCCATGAATTCAATGTTGTCTTCTTTTGCCTGTGTCATTACAGGCAGCACCGAAACAAATAGAGATCTGAAAAGCACAGCAGTCTGGAAATCATTTTCAAGAACATAAGCTTGTTGTTTTTGATGGAAGAGGACATTAATTTGCAATATTGTTTGTTATGATGATATCTGCAGTGTATAAATAATTTGTATATTCATAAAACGAAAGTACTGCCTGCAATGCCAAACTTTGTAGCTACTTTCACCTCCAAGTTGTTCTGTTTGAGTTAACGGCATAAAAGATCTTTTTTTTTTTTTTACCGCTGTGCATTATTAACGTTATGGACTTAGTGCTAAGTGATCAGCAGAAAACGAAATATCACATATAAATTTATATCGGTTGTGTTGAGTCTTGAAAATTTTATGCTAATGGTATACGAATAAGCTTTGAAATCAGTGCTGCCCATTACTGGGGAAATAGAAAGTTCTGTAGGGGACTAGCACTTTAGGTGGTAGCACTACACCCTTTTTTATTGCCACCAAATATATGAATACTTGTGTCTAGTAAACAGAAGATGTGAGAATTGTTTAACCATTTGAGTGCATGCCCGTATATCTTCCTTGATTATCAGACCATTTTTTAGTTTTTATGAGAGTTTGACTAAAGCTATTCAAATAAATTGACAGTCAAGCAACTCACATTTTTAGGAGATGTAACCAATGGCAGTCCAAATATCTTTCTCTTTCTTGTGGCATGTTCACAGACTTTGTTGACACACAGTGGGTAAGATTCACTAAAACTGGTGCACTCATAATTTGGTGCAGCTGTGCATAGTAACCAATCGGCTTGTAACTTCAGCTTGTTCAATTAAGCATTTGGAATAAAACCTGGAAGCTAAATAGTTACATAATTAGTCTGGCTGAAAAAAGACAAAAGTCCATCCAGTTCCACCATTAAAGAGGAAGCAAAAAAAAACCTCAGCAAGGCATGATCCAATTTGCTCCTGCAGGGGAAAAAATTCCTTCCTGATCCCCCGAGAGGCAATCAGATATTCCCTGGATCAACGTTACCTGTGCAGAGAAATACAAAGCAACATGTCCTTGCTGGCAGGAGAGACCTGTGTTGTTTACACACAGGTCTCTCCCCTGTCAGCTTTACACGGTGATCACTGGGTGCCAGTGAGGAATCTCTGGCCAGGACCTGGTGATTGACATCCATAGCCGCCATGGCGCAGGTAGGACGGTGTGCGCTCCCTACCCTGAAATGCAAATCACGTATGTATACCTGATTTTGCTTGGCCCTGCCGCCCTGTAGCGGTAGTTCTACTATAGGGTGGTGGGCAAGCGGTTAAGCAGCCCCTACTATTAACGTTTAGATGTACCTTCTAAAAATGCCATTATATTCCTCTACCCAATCTCTCCTTCTTGTTCCAAAGGGTTTCCACTGTGAACCTAGCAGTTACCGTTTGAGAAATCCAGCATCTATCCTAATGGAGTAATGATATTGGTTGGCAAATTAATCACATATCACCCAGCCTATAGCAAATTGACGGCCTGGCGGGACATTCGGCAATCCAAGTGGATGTCATATGACTTTCTACCCAGAACAAGCCTCACACGCAGCCATGTGGCTGCACTGTGGGTGCGATTTGTCACTGGTTGTGTCCACCGGATACAGCTGATGACTGATCAGTGTACCGGCCAGCTACCGGTACCATGTGATCACTGTGGCCAATCACAGCAAATCATGTGACAATTGTAAACAATAAATAGCTTTGATTCATGCCATTCAATATGTACAATTGTAT